GTTCTTTGTTTAAAATGACTGTGTTTTTAATAGATATACTATGGTTTTTTGAGCTGCAATGGTGAAAAACGTGGGACAATAAAAAACCGTGCCTGAAAATAATAAATATCCCTATCAGACATCTGTTTTTCTGTACTAGGTACCTGATTACCCCTTTTCTGGCGAAACCATGGCCGTGGATAAATGATGTATTTGTGAAACGTACAATTCTCTTGTTTTTCCTCAATTATTTAGAAATGCTTTTGTTTTGTTGTTTTTGTTTTTTTCTGGAGGTTGAAAAGGACAGTTTTATAACTACCTTTAGTTAACTGAGTGTTACGTCTGTTTATTTGTTCTTTGTACACGATTATCATATTACTTAAACCAATAAGAAAAGCCTAAATAATACTGATAGCCTAAAAAATACTGATAGCCTAAATAATACTGATAGCCTAAAAAATACTGATAGCCTAAATAATACTGATAGCTTAAATAATACTGATAGCCTAAATGATACTGATAGCTTAAATAATACTGATAGCTTAAATAATACTGATAGCTTAAATAATACTGATAGCCTAAAAAATACTGATAGCTTAAATAATACTGATAGCCTAAATAATACTGATAGCTTAAATAATACTGATAGCCTAAATAATACTGATAGCTTAAATAATACTGATAGCTTAAATAATACTGATAGCCCTATCAGTATTATTTAGGCTATCAGTATTATTTAAGCAAGCAGTATTATTTAGGCTATCAGTATTATTTAAGCTATCAGTATTATTTACCTTAATAATACGTTCATTTATTTCCACTAATGTTGATCCTTTTCCTTTCAGTTTTTCGACGTACGTACACAACACTGTGAGAGATTTTGGTACTAAAGCTACCACTGAAAATAACAGACGAAGTTTTTAAAATAAAATAAACAAGGAACGAAACTCACCATCTTTCTCGTTGTAGGTTTTGAATGACGAGATAAACTTCTGGTTGAACGTATCAGTTACATTGGACAGGTTATCCACCCATTCTGGATTCTTTATCAGTATCAGAGCATACGTACTCCACGACACGCCAAAAACACTCTCAAACTGAAACCAAAACCAACACAAGTTAACACTAACCATGCTTCGGATACGTGTTAGTATACCTCAGAATTCGTGTGGACTTTTTAATTATTATTTTTTTTATTGTGACTAACCTTAGAAATTAAGCATTAATAATAAATGGATTAGGGTGGTTAGGGCGCTCGACTCGCAATCTGAGGGTCCCGGGTTCGAATCCCCGTCCCACCAAACATTCTCGCTATTTCAGCCGTGGGGGCGTTATAATGTGACGATCAATCCCACTATTCGTTAGTAAAAGAGTAGCCCATTACTCTAGTTCACACCATTACAGCTGTAGTTCATGCAATTTGATAATCTAAATACTGTCTAAAACACTACTATGTCTGTCGTATCCAACCCGATCTGATGAGTCCTGGTATAAGGCGAAAGGCCTCGTCGGTATTGCATCTAACAGATATGTGTCTTACATATTGTTGTACATCCATTTTCCTTTACTTTCAATTTTAAGTTCTTAGGGTTTATATTATAACTAGCTGACGAGGGGGGGGGGTATATGTCAAGTTTGGTGGCTAGGTTTATGGAGATACACACGGACTTTTATCAGACAATGCTTTACATTAAAAATATAAGTAGGCTTACTGTTCTGATAAAACAACAACACTCAACAAAAGCCCCCTTGTGGTGAGTAATACAAGCTAATCTACAGTATAAGTTCTAATCTTCTTGTCTTATCTCACTTGTTTATAATTAATTAGAAGACAGTTAACTCACTGGAAAGTTTTATCTAGAAATAGAACAAGATAATCCAGTCTGGTGGCGCCCCTGGCTGAGTGATAATATTGTGTAAATAAATGTTAACTTCTCTCAGATAATGCGAATTTTAGTACGTGAAAGTATATCCCTCGATATCAACAACTCACCACCAGGCGACGTTAGGATATGACGTCATACATTATTTCGATGCAATTTTCTTGCTTAAAGATATTTGACCTTTGATTTCGTGTCGACAGGAATTTTTGTGATAAATGCTAAAGTAATGTGTACTGTTTGTAACACAGAAACTTTTGTAACATTATCTCCAGGATGTCCAATCCCCGCTGTTGTTAATATTACGTCAGGCTAACCCTAAACATTTATTAACAAGATCGCAGTTTTCAAAAGAACTTAATAAAGTTGTATTTGTTTGTTTGTTTGTTTTGCGCGAAGCTACCAAAAGATTATCTGAGCATAGCCATCCCTAACTTTTGAAGTGATAGACTAGAGGGAGGGCAGCAAGTGGTTTGGTTTTGTTCAAATTTCGCGCAAAGTTACACGAGGGTTATCTGCGCTACCCATCCCTAATTTAGCAGTGTAAGACTAGAGGGAAGGCAGCTAGTCATCATTACCCACCGCCAACTCTTGGGCTACTCTTTTACCAACAGATTATAACAGCTGAAAACGGCGAGCATGTTTGGTGGGACGGAGATTCAAACTCTCGGTCCTCAGATTGCGAGTCAAGCGCCCTAACCACCTGGCCATGCCGGGGCCCTAACCCCCTGGCCATGCCGGGCCGTGTCTGAACTTTTCGTGGAAGCTCAGGGGAAACATTTCTGGAAAGGATGTGTCCGATTTGTAATAATTACAATTAATGATTAATCCAGTTCACACTATAACAGTTGACATTCGTTAATATATACATATATATATGTATGCAAGGGTGCTCGCAGAAAAAAAAATAGGGGGGTCAAGTAACTCAAGTTTGAAATACAAATACCTTATGGAAATATTTTTATTATACTATTTTGTGACTGCCATATTTTCTTAATATAAGAATTATGAGTAGACCCGTATATTGTTATACCATTATATAAGAATTGTAAGTAGACCCGTATATTGTTATACCATTATAAAAGAATTGTAGTAGACC